CGATTTTTCGACAATCATCTCCCAAGATATAACGACCACATCAAGCCATAAGAGCACTTCAAATGACTTCGACCAGTAAACTCGAACGAAATTTCCTTTCTACCATAAACATGACTTTGATGCAAGATATAATCACTTCTACGAAGTATTTTATGTAATTTGATAGGAAATAAATAATATAGCATTATGGAATGAATTTGAATTACAAATACACGTCCAAGGGGTCCCATATATAGAAGATAAAAGGATGTGGGTGAAGGGACACAGCCTAAATTCAGCATTTTTCATGAAAAGTTACAACACTTCATTTCAAACCTGCATCCTTTCGAAAAGATGAAACACTTTATTCTTCCAATTTTGGACCGCAATCATTCATCCGGAGTTGGTTTCGAGATTCCACATATACCACGACAATCTACTCGACAAGTAGAATAAGTTGGTCTATTTACTTTTATAATTTGACCATCGGATCAAGTTCGAATATTAGATCGAAATTCACACAAAGTCACACCTTTTTATTTTGGTTTTAATACTTAACCAACTTTTCAATTACTTTTGAACCAATTCCAACACTATATTGTGGATTTAAGGATACAAACTAACTTTAGAAATACGAAATAAAATTACGTAGAAGAATTCTTAAGAAAAAAGACTTAAAAAGAATGTTTGAAATTTTAATATGCGTGTTTGATGTAGATTTTTTGGAATATACTTTGTGAAAAGTAATTTTTTTTTTTAAATGTGTGGTTAAAAAGTTAAAGAAAAATTATGCTTCCAGATTCAAAATCATTTTATTGAAAAAATTTATGATTGAAAATGCGTTTGTAAAAAATTAAAATTTTAAAAAATATGTATCAAACAGGGACTAAATACGAGTATCTCTATTTACCATCGTTGATGCTATAACATTAGTTTTGGTGACGCTAATGTGATATTAAATGAAGTGTACAAATAAATAAGTCACTCGATTCTATTTTCATTGAACTTAACATATACCGTAACCTAAACTGATATTATAGTATCAATAGCATTTGTTCAGTTTTGATACTCAATGAATCTTGGGAAATGATGTAAACATTAGAATATAATTTCACAGGTCTTGACCAATGGTAAATTAATTACCAACAATCAAGTTCAAAGACTCCACTTGAAAATAACATGGACTGTTGGAAGTAGTTTAAGAAATTAATACTACTTACGGCCCATTTAACCATTTTATTGGTCCAATTATAACATAACCTATTCCTATATATATGTTGCTTTGACCTAGGAGTTCGAGTGTGTAATTTGTGCGTGAAAGGTAGAAAACTTGGCTGCTTTGTACTTCCAAAAATTGGTGATCTACTTTGTGTTATTGGTCTCGTCTTGTGCCTTCTTTTCATTATTTTTCCTCTTGCTTTTTATAGCCTACAAATTTACACCATTATCTTGTCCTTTATGGGTAAGATTGAAAAGCAACTTAGGTAAATATTGGTTGTAAGTTGGAACCGTTTAGATTTGTGGTTTGATAGAGGAAGATAACGTGAAACTGATCCCGAAAACATCATTTAAAAATTTTTTGGAGAGAGTTTCCGCAGTAATTGGTATCAGAGCTTCACGGTAGTGGATTTGGCTAAAAAATCTACCAAAATAGACAGGAAAAATGGCAAAATCAAAGAAAAAAATAGATTGAAAAAATGTCCAAAAAATTTCCCAAAAGCCAAGGCTACTTGTGTAATTTTCGACCAATACAGAGACTTGGTGGTTAAACGAAGGCCATATTCAAGACATGCAGGTGTAGGTGTAGTTGGACGACCAACATCTGAGGGGCTCCGGCGAGGGGCGTGAGGGCACATGTAGCTCATTCCGACAACGGCATCCGAAAACAGATTGCTCTTGGAGGCATGTTGTATGTAAATGTATCAGATTTGTAATTTAATATTAAGCCCATAATTTATGGGTAGGACATGTACTTCACGCTGACAATTTATGTCATTTGATCATTGATTGACAATATTGTTCCTTTAATTAATATGAGATTGCGTAGATATAATACATTGGTTATAGACAGATATATGATGTGATACGTTTAAGTATTATTTATAATAGTACCATTTCAAATGGAAAGCGATACATATATATGTGTGATGCATGAATTGAGAGAGGATGGCCTACAATTATGAATGGTATTCAAATTTGGATTTCACACGATCAATTATAAGGAAAAAGAGAAATACAACCAAACTACCTTCTCACAAGTTTATTTGGCCGAAAGGATATATTGCTTTAGATAGATAAATTATGTGATACGTTCGAGCATGATGTAATGATATTATTAATCCATCCGTATCATGAAGATAAGTTTGCTTTCTTTTTTTAATTGTCCCAAATTATATCACTTTTTTTGTTGAGAGTATAGCTGATTTTTCAGTTTTCAAGTATACACTTATTTAATGTGTCTTATGATTAACAAATATGAATTACTTTTATTTAAACTATTATTTAATTTAGGGATATATTAGAGAAAATGTAAATAAAATTTATATTTTTAACTATGTTAATTCCATTTTCTTAATCTGTATGAAAAATGAAATCAAATCTATTTTTATGGGATGAGGAGAGTATTTGATAACCGGAAGAGATGCATAGATTTGTGTAAATGCATGAATGGGATGGTATCAAAGAATTTCGTTAAAAGTAATTTATCAATTAGTATTATTATAAAAAATATATATATATTTAATGAAGCATTGTCAACAATTATCGGCAACATGAATGACGGCATTGTCTTTAATAATGACTGGCGAATGTGTGACAGTAATCTGTATAGTTCTGTCCAAAAACATCATAATCATTAATAATTATACTTATATTTTTTATCATTTTAATAGTTGAGGGATTAAAGTGCAATGGTTGTTTTTTAATTCTTATATTTTTATTTGGCTTAAATAATTAAAATTTGATAGAATAAAGATAAGAATATAAATATTGGACTCTTTTTGTAAATCGTAAATAATTAGAAATTTTGAACTCGAGAAAAAATTATTTTGGATAAATTAGATCCAAAATATTGAAGCTTACGGAAGTCGTCATTATCTAAAATGGTTAATTTAGCTTTGGTGGTGGGTAGCCCACACGTGGGCGTATATAACTATTATTGTTTTCTTTTTTATTTTGTCTATTGAAATTTATATTCAGTTCAAATTCCAATAAGCTTGATTGACTGAATTGACACAGCATTGTCCATGCACTATAAATATCCACACACATGTGTGTGTGAGAGAGAGAGAGAGAGAGAGAGAGAGAGAGAGAGTATTTTTGAGACAAAAGTCAATCTGATTTTATTATTTTCCCGTAGTCTAGGAGTTTGGAGCGCGCATTCGTATCTTACTTCAAAAATTAGTTATTTAACAAAGTATGATATTTTTGTCCAAGTAATTTTTTTTTTGTATATTTTTATATTTAATAATTTATGTATGAATGCAAGTGGACTTTCGGGTTTGATTTAACGGAATGTGAACTCTATTAAGTTCTTTATAAAGAAATATTCTTTGAAAATCAAAGGACCACTTGTGAGTGTGTCACTTGATCATTGATATACTTCATAAGAAATGTGGTACGAAGTGTTTAATTTATTGTTATATAATTATCTATGGAAACTGCACCTATCTTACTAGACATTTTTAAATACTCACTTTTACTACAATTTTACATGTTAGTTTTGGTCGATTGGATCTGTAGGGGATGGTGATACGGGCTATCGAGTGAATCAAAGAAAAGGAAAAATACATATTAAGTTTTTATGTTTTTAAATTCTTAGCTAGTTTAAATTTACTCAAAGACATGTTTGAACATGTTTATTTTTTTTAATACAATTTTCATGTTTAGTTTAAATTTATGAATATTTCAATTATTTTATTCTTAAAAAAATTATTTTTATCATTCCGCCTTCAATATAAAGTCAAGAAATTTTTTTTATAACACCTGAAGATTTATGAAAATTTAGGGTGTTACAAAGAGCATTTCCAATTGTGGTATAAAATAGGCTAAATTGTGATTTAGATATCCAGACTAGTCTTAAACCTCCCTAATAAAGGGATGTAAAGGAAATGCAAATTGTATTTTTTGATAGAAAATATAAAATTCAAAAGAGATAAAAAAAAAGAAAAAGAAAAAAAAGAAAAAGTGGATTTAGATCCTCTCATTACAACAAAATTTGAATTTTGATCCACCAAAATGTAAATAAGAATGCAAAATTGATTTTGAAGATATTATGCCTAATTTTACATCATCATAGAATATGCTCTACCTATAGAATTTGTATTATTTTTTATACTTGTTGAGATTGTGATTTCATAAAGTGAAAGCATTACTTTGCATATCATATGTGGTGATTGCACTTGATATATATTTATGAGAAATTTTTATAAACATGAAAACTCATGTAGACCATTTGTAAAAATATGTAATATTAGTATGTGATTTAAAATGTTTTTCGTCTTAAAGTTGTGTCTTCACAAAATTCAAGTCTTGACACTTCAGTGTCTCATGAGCCAATTTTTCAACACGTTGTATCTGTTGCGCGTGTTTCATTCTAGAATAATTTTTGCCTAATCATCTTCAGCAATATCTTATTGTTATGAGAACTGGTTATGTTTGACCTTCATTTTGAGGAAAAATATATTTTGAAATAGTAATTTTTTTGGAATATGTGGTTAAAATTTTTTTTATAAAAATTTTATTTATGTGTAAAATTAATTTTTAGAAAAACATATAGTTGAAAAAATTCATTTTGAAAAATTGAAGCTCAGGAGCTTAAAACTTTTATAAATATGAAAACTAAGATTTGATTTAAAAAAGAGTTTCAAATGGGGGCTAAAATTTCTTCGTGAATTGAAGAATGGGAAAACCCATCCACGTATTTTACGCGTACTGAGGTCCCATCCTACCGACCACAATTGGCCCACTTCACTGTTTTCTCCGAATGACGAACTTTCAACTTGAAGAATGAAGGTGTACTGACGACGACTGAATTCTGATCAGACACTATGACATGACAATAACGACTTCTGAGAACGTCAAGAAGTTTCCTTTTTCACTTCGTAAGTTCCGACCTATATAAGTATTTGAGTCTATAATGCCTTAATTTTCAAGAAGTAAAAGGCTGACTATGCACAATCAGATATCTTTGTAGCGGTAGAATCGGTTCAAGCCCAATTATGAGGATAATCAACTGGTTTTCGAAGAACTTCCGATACTACGTTGTTTTCTCGAAGGAAGCATTGTTTATACTTGGTAAACTCAGTGTAATTATGGTTTTTATAATTGATTTTGATTATTTCTTCCTAATTTCTAACACTAAGCTTAAATTTCTGTAGGCCTCATATTTGTCCACAGTTTCGTAGAGAAAGCACTGCTAGATATACTGATCACTCATCTCCAAGGTGTATGGGGCATACATAAATCGGCTCAAGCTGTCAATTTACAGGAAGGAACCGCGGCAGTTCTGCAAATTTTATTTGCTTTTGCATTGGATGCCTATCTGGGCCGCTTCAAAATGGTGGTTTACTCCTCCATATCTTACATTATTGTGAGTTTTGTAATGAGAAATTAACGTTAAACCCACCACTATTTACTCTCAAATGATATGACTCTGTCTTGTTCAGAGATTTTCTAAATCAATCGACTTTTTGTAGGGATTGGTGCTGTTCTGGAATGCAGACTGGCATAGTGATATTCGAACTTTTTACATAGGACTCGTGCTAATCACTCTGGCAAAAGCTGCAAAAGAGGTATCCTTGAAAGCATTTCTTGATGATCAATTCATGGCAAAGGATATCCCAACCACAGAAAAGGAGAAAGAACGACAACATAGCCGTAGCAACGTCTGGTGGCGCTCTGCATCCATCTTGGGTTCTATTGCAGCTATTTTTGTCCCGAGTTCATTGAAGCTGCTTTCTATGATCTCAGCAATTGCAATGATGATTGCATACTTGTGGCTCTGGTTAGGTGCAAAATTTTATGAATGCAATCGACCAACAGGCAGCGCCATCTCTGATGTTCTATTTGTTATCAGAACAGCAGTACGAAAAAGCGATCTTCCCTATGCAACTACTCCAGAGCAGCTCTTCCAAAATTATAAAGGTGTTACGCGTATTGAGCCTTGCATTTCGTGGTTGATGTATGTCCCGTCACTCGGTTTCTTACTTACAATGTAGACTACAAGATCATTGATCTTATTTTCTAACCCTGCACTACATTTTGTTTGTTAAACGACAGGTGGTTAGACAAAGCTCCCATTATGATTGAAGAGGTAAATAGGCCAGACAAGAATTGCACAGTTGCACAAGTGAAGGAAGTGAAATTTTTATTAGCGTTGATTCCTATGTGGACAACTTTCCTTACATACAGTCTGGTTGATGCAACAGGGAGCACCTTCTTTTTCGTACAAGTTAGCAACATTGATGACAAATTCCCTGTTACTGTTTTTGTTATATTAGTAACAGTCACAATCTCTGCAATTGATTATCTATGTGACTTCCTATTTCAAAAAATTGGTAATGAAATGAATGGACAACTCATAAGGCGGGGGAGAATCGGTGTTGGAATGGCATTTTCTGTCATTTGTTGCATATTTGCTTGGAAAAATGCAGTTCACTGGCTGTATTTGGTCAAGATATACACAAAGCCAAGTTTACATATAAACATTTTTAGCCTAACTCCACAATTTATCTTCTTGGGAATTATGAAAGGATTTTCAGAAGGTGGGCTTCAAAGTTTCTTTTGTTCCCAGGTTTCTGAATCTCTAAAGAACTACGGACCACCATTTGGAGAATGTGTGATTGGTATCGGAAAGTTTCTGAGTATGTTTTGTATCCTCATTTTTGGTCGCTGGTTTGGGAAATATATAAATTTCAGTCGTTTGGACAATTATTATGCGTTGCTGACACTTCTAAGTTTTGTTAACTTACTAATCTACTGTTTGGTTGCCTACTGGTATGGAGATGTTCGATTTTCACCTGAAGTAGACTGTGAACCACTCATAGAAGGTGCCCAAGACAGTATTAGACCTTTGGTACTGCCATCCTTCTCTGATCAGATGCCCAATAACCTTCAATATATTGGTGTTTCGACAAGGAGAACACGGTCATTATCTGATAAGATGCCCAATATCTCTCCATATTTCAGTGTTTTCAGAAGGGGAACGTGGTCCTTCCCCAGTCCTGCTCAACCTACAAATCCAAACAGGCTGGATTATGCACACGAGAAGGAGAATGAACAACTCCTCAATTTAAAAATATCTGATAGTAAACATCGCGATGTTTTGTAAAGTTGGTCAATGTTAAATTGATGGTGGAAAGATATCAAAGTGATTGCAAGACTCGTTCCCCTCAGACTCCTTCCTGTTATTCCCCAAAGGATCCTTCCTGTTATGCTTTCTAATATGTCGTGATTACTATTTCTCTCCCTTTGTATTGCTTTGTTTTTCTTTCTGATATAGATAAGTCTTTGATTATAAATACATTTAATGTACCAGAAATAATATTTTTTAGCTTAGGCTTTATTTTATCACTTTCATCTGATGGCTCAAACCACTGATAATCATCAGACCAAAATGTGGTTATTCCTATTTTCGATCCCTTTGCAAACCGACATTCATAATGGCAAAGATCATCAGTCCCTATCGTTCTTGTGTTGCATCTATTTTCAATAGAAAACTATAATACTTGGTACAGATCAATGTGCACAATCTTAAGGGCAAAGAACAAATTGAGATCTGCACTACCGGTGTCCCAAGGTTACAATCGCTAAAATAAGAAAACAAATTCTAATTTCTCAACTCTTTGCACTTATTGCAAGCTTTCTTCCAAATGAACCTTCTTTTTGGACATA